CTGAAAAAAAAAAAAAAAAAGTAAGGACTCATTTATAAAATCAAACTACTTTAGCCATTTGAAACTTTCGCTACCCAGTGGTTCGGTATCCTAGCGCAAAGCCCTGGAATAAATTAGAATGGGGGAAAAAAAAGAAAAAAAAAAGTTTAAAAAAATTATTACCAGACATCACCGCACCAGAGTCTTCATATGGCCTCTGCTGGTTAATTATTAATTATTTAATGCCAAAGAAGAAGTGCTTGAAATGCAGAACGGTTCACTACAGACTGTAATAATAAAAACATTACCCCCCGTAAACTCTTTTGTGCGAGGCTTGCACGCTCAGCCCAGATACAACGCCTCCTGCTCTCCAGCTCATTACCTCTGCTGATGGATAATGGCCAGTGTTATTAAAGCAGGGGGATGCCAAGGGTGGTGCAGGGAGGTGCGCTGGGTGCCGCAGCCAGGGCTGGTCCCTCGGTTGCTCTCTGCACCCTGCGGTTCGTGCAGGAGCTGGCTCGTTCCCTCCTCTCCATCTCCAGCACCGCACGCCCCTGCCCGCACACACATCTCCGGGCATCTCTTCTGTCCACTGCTCTAAGGGTAAATTAACACAGCAGGCACCGAGCTGCCACAGCCGGCCATGGGATATCCCAGTTGGATCATTTAAAACTAGCTCATGCATCTTTATGCTACGCCGCAGTCGCTCTTCACTCTGCAAAGGAGCGGGAGTCAAACTTATGCAGCCGCAAGTGCAGCTCTGCCTCCCAACTCTTACCATGGTGCTGGGCAAATCCTGCCATCCCACTGCCTCGACTCTGCCACCGGAAAAATGGGAAATAAGATTTTCTCTTGCCTGTGTTGCAAGGATTATTGCTTAGGATGGCTGGGTGTTGAGGTCTCAGCACTTCTGGAAAAAAAAAAAAATAAAAGAAAAAAAAAAAAGAAAAAAAAAAGCAGTGCAAAAAAAGCCCAAGCCGTAAAGCACAGTCAGGGTGTTTGCACTAACGCTGCATGCGTGAGGAAAGCTGTGCCCAGCATTTCCAACCTGCGAGAGGAGCCTCTCCCCAGCCCGCCAGCAGCAGGCGGGCACCACCACCAGCTCACCCGCTGGCTGCCGCCTGCCCAGCCGAGGAGACACGCACCCGGACCCCAGAGCCAAGCAGCAGCTCTTTCCTAGCTGAGCAGCACGCAGGCAGCGCTCCGCTCCTCCCTGCCCAAAGTCACACTCTGCAGAGCTTACGGCAGCTTCTTGGCAGAAGATTCTTCCTTTTTTTTTTTTTTTTTTTTT